ATAAATCAAAGAACACAGAATTCTGGGGAAAGGATTACTTAGGGAGATAGAAACACTACCTTCAGAAGTATATAGCTCTGGATGGAGGATACAAGAAATAATAGCTTCACATTTTGATATTTTTGTTTAATAACAGTTACTGTGATTTTGTAGCAATACTTTTTGATATACCCTCATGTAGATCAAGAAGCTATGCAGAGAAGTTAAATATTTTTCTTAAAATTAAGTACTGATAAGTAATTGATCAAGATTTTAACTCAAATATAGTTTGACTCCAAGAGTATTGGTGTGGTGCTGTAGGATAAGCACCTGGAGCACAAGGTTGGTGATCCAAATCCACCAGTTGCTCCTCAGAAACCCTAGAATAGTTGTTAGCTGTCGACGGCACTTAACAACAACAATCTGATGCCAAGCCCTCTGGTCCATTTTCTTTTATAGGCAGGGATTAATTCATAAAGTGCTTTATATGCTATAGTATGGATTCAGTTTTTTGTTTTGTTTTAACTTTTTATTGTAAACTGGGTGAGAGTTAACAGAGCAAATCACTTTTTTATGTCACTGATTGCTTTCCATTTCCATTCCTCCTTCTCTCTTAATGCTTCTGAACTTTGTCCTTGGGTAAATGCTGCCCTTTTGATTGCACGTGGTTGATTATCCTAAGGGGTGCGTACCTCCCTGGTGTTTTTGTTCCCCTTGATAGACCTGTAGTATAGTTTTACTCTATCAACATATAAAAGTCAGTGAAGTGCTTTAAATTATACAAGTTACAAGGTTAGATTTTTATTTTATTTTTAACTCAAGTAGCACTTGCAAGATGATTTAGAAGTGTGGATAGGGGAAATGGAGATGAATGAGGATCAAGACACAGTTTCTATACTCCACATAAGAGATGATGAAGCTCTGAGAGAGGGCAGTGAATCAGGGAACAGATTCAAAATATATTTTGGTGGAACTTGGGGATATGTTGAATATGTATGGGAAATAAGGAAGAAATCAGAATCTAGGTTGATTTACAAATTTCTTGGGTAACCACAGTGATGGTAGTGCCAGAATCCATGATAAAACATATGGAAAGAGTGTTCTGGCTATTAGCCATGTATTCTCTTAGCTAAAATATCTTCATCATTATTTAGGAGCTTTGGTTCCTGGTCAGATATAAATTTAAGTGTGTATACAAGCATATTCTCATTGAAAGTCTACCATTTCAACTCCTAAGTATCATGACAAAGTAATTCTCCCATTACTTAATGGACAGAGCAAAATGCCTGTCTTTTTAACAGGTTTAGCTTTTTGGTTATTTGACAGGATTGATCACTAATACACCCAGATAGCCATTTCAGAAGGTCCACACTAGTGTGGTGCTGTGGGTTAATGAGCCAGACTGAAAAGCCGTTTGAACTGCAAGGTCGGCGGTTCAAGCTCACTAGCTGCTCCTCGGAAACCCTATACAGGGTCACTATGGGTCAGAACGGACTCAACAGCACTTAGCAACAACACACTACTCAAAGATTATTTTTATTAGTAACATTGCTAAGTAAATTCTGACTCTTAAGTTGACAATAGAATCGTTGTGGGGTTTTGTGTTTTTTTAAGGAGTTCTCAGACAAAATTGGTTTCAGATTTATGAACATCCTGAACTTAAGAAGGCATTGTATATCTAGGTCCTTGGACAGAAGTGATCATAGGAATCATTTATAATAGGATAATGGGAATCAACCAGAGTTGTTCTATAGTAATCCTAAATTCTTTTCCATGCTAAGAATTTATAAACCCAGTCACACAAGAAAAATGGCAATATCTATGATACTAAATAAGACAAAAGTTGTTCAGAGGAAGTTTTATGTTAGGACTTTAAATGAATATTATACTATGAATAGTAAAGCAGGTTATAAAATTCTCCCATAAAAGGAAGCTTATGTTTGGTAGTATTTAGCATTTTCTTCGTAATTCTAAGTAATGCAATTTTTCCTAAATCTACTTAACTATTTGCAGAAGACTTGCATGCAACATATTAAAGTTCTTTTTAGTACATATTCAAAAAGTTTGGAAAGTTGTACATTTGTCAGTGATTCCTCTCTATTTCTTACTATTTGATGTGAATATCCTCTTTCTGTTAAAAGCTCTTTATATATGATGCATTTGATTGGGACCAATGCCAAGGTCCAATCTTTCTTTAAACAATAATCTTCATAGAAAATACTTTGGTCAATATTCTTTTTCTTCAACCAGGGAATGCCTTTCACTCCGACATATCCTTGGTTTAAAACATCGCATTCTTACCTTCTTCATTAAATGACTAAAAGCACAACTTGAGTAATCTAAGCTTCTTTACTTTATATTCATAAATGTAAGACTTCATGTGAAGACTGGTTTAAATACCTAAATAACTTGCAATCTAATGAACAAGGAGGTGGAAGTATTGAATGTGTGACTTGCTGGTTTTAAAGCTCTTTAAATCTTTCTGAGGTACTTTTACTTTCACAATGTTTAAGTAGCTCTAATTCCTAGTATTAAAAACTTTAAATTCTTAATGCCTATTTTTTTATTATTATTATGGGCCATAATTCTTTCAGCAAAGCAATTTCCATTTCTGTGTAAAAGTTAATGGAGTGAATAGAGCACGTGCTCTACCACCAAAGGGTGCAGGACAAAGTCAGGGAAACCCAAGGGATGAAAGATGACATCAAACTATTATTGAGAAATTTTCTTTAGAAAATGTCTGATAAGTGATTCGTATGGCTTATATTCTCCTACCTAGAAATTCTAAATTGAAACTCCACAATGGAATTGAGAAAAGAGAGAAAAAGGAGTGAGAGAGATAGTACATTCAATTTCGAAAACTTATTAAGTACATAAATAAAATTTAAATTGAATCCTGACATTTTTAATCAAGTGTCATTGAAAATCCGTAAATTTGCAAATTATGTCAAATAAATTGCGAAGACTGACTAATGCTCAGTAGAATAAACTTGAAGGCAACTGATTTAATGCTTAATAAATGTACGTTGAATCAAGTTATATTACATCACCTTTTATTGGGGGTATGGACTTCTGTCTACTAAACAACACGGAGAATAACTGTAAAAAGCTGTCAATCTGAGTCAATCTGAATATATCAACCAAAACACTGGCCTGTGAATCTGGAGTAAGACTGTAGAAGAATATATGCATTTGAATTATGGTGATGGTATTAAGTGCCATCGAGTCAGTTACAACTCATAGCAACCTTCTATAGGGTTTCTGAGGCTCTCAAGCTTCATGGGAGGCAGGAAACTCTTCTGTCTCCCCTGGAGTGACTGGTGTTCTCAAACCTCAGACCTGTGGTTACAGTCCAGCACCTGTTTTATGGAGCCACCATGCTCCTAGATTATGGTGCTGGAGAAGAGTATTAAAAGTATCATGGGCAGCAAGAAAAACAAAAAAATCTGTCTTGGAAAAAGTGCAGCCAGAGTGCTACTGAGAAGCCAGGATTGTGAGACTTCCTCTAGCATACTTTGGACATGTCTTCAGGAGGAACCAGTCCCTGGAGAAGGATATCATGCTTGGTAAAGGGGAGGGTTGTTGAAAAAGAGGAAGACATCCAAGGAGATGGATTGACACAATGGCTGTAGCAATGGACTCAAGCATAATAACAGATGTGAGGATGGTGCAGGACCAGGCAGTGTTTCGTTCTGTTGTACATAGGGTTGTTATGATTCAGCACTGATTCACTGGCACCTAAAAGCAGCAGCAACATGAGTCTGAATATAAGATTCATAGACCAATGTTTTGGTTGATAGTCTGGAGTCTGATTTTACCTTTTTCACAGTTAAGACACAATAGCAATTTGATTTATTACCTAAGAAAGTAACGTGTTGCTCTTCATTCATCTCTTAGAATCTAATGTCCACTTCCCATCCATATACTGAAATCTTGGTGTGGCACTGCAAATAAGCACTGGACTATTGATCAGTATTTCAAACTCACCAGCTGCTCCTTGAAAACCCTATACAGGATCGTTATGAGTCAGAACCTACTCGACAACACTTAATAACAGCAACATCCATATACTATGTTGTTGTTTTAAGTGTCGTCAAGTCACTTCTGACCCATAGCAACCCTGTATAGGGTTTCTGTGGAGCAGCTAGTGAGCTTGAACCGCCGACCTTGTGGTTCAAACCAACTTTGCAGTCCACAGTGCCACACCAGGAGTCCTATACTGTATTGTTGTTGTTGTTAAATATTGTCGAGTCAGCTCTGACCCATAGCGACCCTGGATAGGGTTTCTGAGGAGCAGCTGGTGAGCTTGAACTGCCGATCTTGCCGTTCAAATGACTATATTGAGTAATATTAAAACCAGAAACCAAATCCGTCTTTGAGTTAATTCCAACTCTTAGTGACTCTATAGAACAGAGTATAACTTTCTTAAAAGGTTTCCAAGGCCATAAATGTTTACATAAGCAGACTGCTCCATCTTTCTCCTATAGAGCAGCTGATGAGTTCGAAGTTCTGACCTCTCAGTTAGCTGATGTGCTACCAAGCTTCCTCTATCTAAATTGTGTTATAAAAGCCCAATACTAACATTAGAACTAGTGTCCTTGATTAGTACATACCTTGAGTTACAATGCAATTTCTTATATTACCAGAGTTGTAATTAATATGATTCAGAGCAACAGTACTTGAAGAAAAATGATATGTGATTAAAGCAGTTGTTTTTGAAGATGCACAGTACTCTCATAAGGAAAACTCTGAATCATCTCTTCCTAGTATATTTGAGCCGGAAGTTAATAGTTAGGCAAGAAGAATTCTTTTTTAAAAAACGTGTAACTGCTAGAGAAGTAAACCTCATTACTAGGGAATATAATTACACAATTTAATTCCTAAAATGAGATATATTTGTTCTTCTTTTTCTCCTGCATGCTATACTGACTGTTACCAAGAGCCTAAAGAAGTTGTATACTGGTTATCTTTTGTCTCTCATCAGTGATTTTCATATTTGTGTTGTCTGTTATGTTTTTCAGGCAAGAGAATCCATTTCACTAAATGACCTAAAGTCAGAAGTATCACCCCGGATTTCAGCAGAAGATCTGATTGACTTGTGTGAGCTCACTGTAACGGGTCATTTCAAAACACCCACGAAGAAAACAAAGTCCAGTAAACCAAAGCTTCTGGTGGTTGACATCCGTAATAGTGAAGAGTATCCTTTACACGTGCTGTTTTAAAGGGTGGTAGTGGTTCAAGCTCACCAGCTGCTCCTCAGAAACCCTATACAGGGTTTCTATGGGTCAGAACCAACTCGATGTTACTTCACAACAATAACAACAGTGGAGGAGAGCGAGGGGAAGTTGTGTGTCACCTAGTCAGTTCCACTCATAATGACCCTGTATAGCTTTTTGGAGGCTGTGAATCTTTACAGGAGCAGAAAGAGTTATGTTTCTCCCATGGAATGCCGGTTAGATTTTAACTGCTGACATTGCAGTTAACAGTCCAGCTCTTAATCCACTAGGCTGCCAGGGCTCCTTATTTAAAGGATTGTGGTTGTTGTTGTTAAGTGTTGTCAAGTTGGTTCTGACTCATAGTGACCCTGTATAAGGTAGATTTGAACACAGCCCAGTGCTGATCCTACAGCGCCACACCAGGCTATTATCTTATTATACTATCTTATTTAATAGGAGTCCTGGTGTGGCACTGTAAGATAAGCAATGGACCCCACAATCAGTTTGAACTGCAAGGTGGTGGGTCAGACCCACCAGCCACTCCTCGGAAACTATATACAGGGTCACTGTGAGTCAGAACTGATTCAATAGCACTTAATTATCCTATTTATATTGTTTACTATTTCATTCAGAGGGTGTATGATTAGGGAAAAATAAATAAATAAAACATTGCCTGGGATTCCTATGAATTCAAATAGCTTAATAACCCTCAAATTAAATGCCAGAATATATTGAATGAGGTTCCAGAAGATACCATTACATACTAGAGACTTTAAAATGTTTTCCAAATAATACCACTATATTGTGATATTTCTTGGTATTTGGGAGTGCAGAGGCTCCATAAGATAGGCACTGGACTGCAAACCACAAAGTCAGAGGTTTGAGTCCATCAACCGCTCCATGGGAGAAAGATGAGGCTTTCTACTCCTGAAAATTTTTTTTTTTTTTCAAGTTTTTATTGTGATTTGAATGATAGCTTACATGGGAGAACATTGGTTTTACAACATGGTTTCACTGCAATGATTATAATCTCCTCCATGCATCATCATTCAACAGTATTTGCTTCTATTCCCTCTCTTTTGTTTTGTTTTGTTTGGAGTGGGAGGGGATGTACGCAAAATCTACAGGGTAGATAATCAGTTTTATACTCAACAAATCATACACCCCATTTCATTACAATGATTACTTCCCCTCCATGTATCATCAGTCAACAGTATTTCTCTCTTTTTTCATTTTAGCTCTTTTTAAAAAAAACAACAACACTCAGGCTTAATAACTTAATAACTTAAACCACCACAGGGCACATTCTGCAAGTCTGCCTACTGGCTTCCAGCTCTCAGTCCCTCTCTTTCCATGAATCTAGAGTCCTCAGCTGCTCCCTCTCTCCAGGTCCCTGTCTCTGCCTCCATCTCTGGTGTCATTGCTTCTCTGGATAAGGTCCTGCATTCTGCTTGTGCTCTTCTCCCTTGATGGTCCTAGGGTCCTCTGTTTCTGGACTGTAAGATTAACTACTCCCCCATTTTTTTGCAAAACTTTCTCC